GAACCAAATGGCCAGTGGTGACCGGCGCTGTTCGTTGAGTGGGCGACCCTGGTCTTCCGCATCGCAGAATGTGGTTCCCTGTTTTTCTTGAAGTTGCAGGAATACTGCACACCGATGCAGCAAAACACCTCCACGGTTGTGTTGAGGACGTCATTTTTGGAGAATGCTCGAAGACAAACATTTCGACCTGAACATCATGAACTTGTTTAAATATGAGTATTCCGTATTCTCCAAATTGTATATACTATTATACCTATGTAAAATGTATATATACATTTATCATATTTCACTAGTTATAATATTTGTACACACTATAATGTAAATATTTTGGAAAAAAAAAGTCCGAACGGGCCTGGAGAATGTGCTAAGACCTGAGGTTTGCCCCTTGAGTCGGGAAGACCTGGACACTGGCAGCGCTCGTGCAGTTGGTCACCTAGACGAGCCTGGCAGCGCTCGTGGATGGTTTTGCCAGCCATAGACTTCGCAGCTTGAACTTCCATTCAACTTTCATTTGGCAGTGGAAAACCATGCGGCTTGTGAAGGAAAGATGAGGAAAGTAGTCTTCCAAGGGACCCTTTGCAACTTACATGATTGCATAGAAGTACTGATCTCATGCGCGCGATGACTTATGTGAGCTTACCCCAGCATGCGGGCAATGGATCAAGACGCTGCACATCCACCCTCAACCTGTTTCAACCCACCCTCAAGTCACATTTACCAACCCCTTTGGCACACTGTGAACTGAACTTGCGAAGCCGTTTCAAAAACATCATGCGACGCATTTTTGTAAAAACCATCCATGTCACCATCATCCCGGACTGCTTCAACACTGAATGCCCTCTCTCTGGGAGCAACACGGCTCAGGTGGTGATTTGGCCCTCCGGTGCGGTTGTTTCAGCGAAAAGTCTCAAAGAGATGAAAATGAAGGCAGGCGAACGGTCCCGCTCGGTTTCATGTGTATATATATATATACATATATATATATACATATATATATGTGTGTTTTTCTTAAGGCCTCCTTCGGAAGGGTTTGTTCAGACCAAAGTGCCGCAAGACGGTTGTTTTAATGTGTGTGTGTGTTTGTGTTTTGTGTGTTTCTCGGTTTGGGAGCGCATGACCATTTTTGTGTAGTGGTTAGGTCATCAGCTTGCTCCATTTGCTTCTGCTTGAGCGCAGGAGTCCAAGATATCGTTATTGCAGGAACATGTGCTTCTTTAATGAATGCACTTTTGTGAGCTTTGTCCGCGCAAAAGAAGGGATCCGATCCTTTCTCCTAATACTATACTGCTACGATTCATGATAGGTCCTCAGATGGATCCTTCAAGATTCATCTCTCATCAAATCAAAAGGAACTGAGTGCCCATCCTTGCATGTATTTTCTTGTGTAATCAGTGGGTCAATCGGTTTTCACCTTCCAACAGAGCAAAAAGAGCCGAAGCATGTCTTGATTTTTGGACTTCTTTGGTTGGATCCTCCAATAAAAGCCAAAGAACCTCGAAGAAAGTTAGTCCTTCATATATCCTTCGTGCTTCCGTGGGCACCTCACAGCGAAAAGCATGCAGGAGTGCCCTGTGACCTCCAAAGCCTTCGACAATGAGAAGGAGCTAAGCGATGTGTGGGCCAAGAAGAAATGCATTGAAGCAGCTTCATGCAGGCATCACGCGAGGACAAAGGAATCGAACATATTCAAGAATCAACAAGACTTCACTCTTCACCTCACCAGTCTTCTTGGTTCGACGGATGTTGACACACCAGTCTGCAGGATCAGGATCAAACTACCGCACAACTCTGGGTAGTTTGGTTGCAAGGGAAGCTGTGCATGTGGACATGTTTGTTCCCATGAACATGAGTTGCAGGATGTGATCCCTTTGGCGCCGGATGGCGAGGAGTGGACAGTTCATCAGTTCGGTCACTCGGGAGGCCGAAGGAACATTGAGAAAGGAAGGTCAGTGAAGACCATAATGTTCCTTTGTTCATACAGGCAGGTGATATTGAATGATATTGAATGATATTGATATTGTAGTTTACTCACCCCTGCCTTGGTCAGAGGTCTCATGGTTGTGGTCGGTTTCTTTTTAAACATTTACTTGTAGCTTTTCTGAGTGAACATCGATCTGAATGACTGATGTCAACACATGTACCATTGTTATTTGCTTTTTGCCAGTTCGCCGCTACGCAGTTGGTCATGCGAGCAGGAGCTTCAGAGGCTTCGAGAGAGACTTCCCACCAAGAAGCGGAAAGCACAGGCGCCTCGGTTGCGATGCTGCAACAGCACGGACGGTCACAAAGTTTGGCGGCGAGTAGTAAAAACACACAACAAAGATTGTGATTTAAATAGAAAAAACAATACAATATATATATATATATATTCTGTTTTTTGACATGATTTGCAGATGTGTGCAGTGATTCCATGCCTGCCACGGACGCGGTTCTTGGGGGACATGGCTTCTAGTATTTTCTCGCTATTTTTGTTTGGAGCCTTTACAGCCTTGTCGTTGGCTTCGAGGCAGCAGCACCTGAAGCCGAAGAGGAGGACCTGCAGAGGGCACCGTCGGGTTCCCCCGGTCGTTCGCTTTTGGTCATCGGCGGCTCAGGGGCGTGGCACAAGAGGTCAAATTCTCGGCAAAAAACAACAAAAATAGAAAAGGCTCGACACTTTGCATCTCGCTTCAAAATGCAAAACATTCAAACAAAGTGCTGGATGGGGTCCACACCATGAGCTTTGTAAAGAATACGACCAGAAGGGTTTTGGATTGCCAATAAGGGCAATTTTCCAAAGTGCTTCAGTTATGGCATTCGGAATCTTCTCAAGCTCGCGCGTCGGCAAGCAATTTAACTGGGGTGCAAAGCAAACATGGGCATGAACAAATCTGGCAGCGCGAGTGTTTTGGGGTCCATGTTCCACTGCGTTGGAAGACTTAGAGGAAATGCACTCCATTTGGTTATCTAATAGTCCAGTGGATTCCATCTAATGCATGAACAGACTATTATCTAAATGGGTGGAATTGGCCAAGCAAGTTGTAGACGGCCTGGTGAGGTTGGCTGAGTACGGTAAAGTTCAAAGGTGATAGTGATTTGCTGGTTGAACCTTGCAATTGGCAATGGGAGCTCTTCATCCTTCATGGTTGTTCATTGCTGTTTGAGTAAAGTTCCAGTTCAAGACAGGCCGTAGCCTTGAAGTTTGACTGTGCTTCTTCGCCTTGGGATGCTGGTGGAGACATCCCCAACTTGTAGAGACATTGTTTGACATTGGTTCATGAACATCTGATTTTTGCATCACAGTCACATATCCATGTGTACTGCACAAGGGTAGGCAGCTAGGGGGGGCCAAAACATTGCAGCCAGTGCATGTGATTTCCTTTGGTGCTCAGCGGGCCCACATGATAGCCTGGTTTGGGCCATATGGGGTGAAGGATCTTGAAGCTGAGAGCAAGGAAAAGAAGGCTGGGGATATGCTATTTTGCTACGTCCTGCCAGCGATTGTGTCTTTCTGAAGGATATTTTAGGCAATGCATTCAGTTGCTTGTAGATACTACAGTTTAAAGATCAACATGGCTATGCGATACTATTTGTCCTTGCTTTTGATGAAGGAGTGACTGCTGAGGGTTTGTGTTGGCTTTATGTGTTCAACACCTTGTGGCGAGTGCACACTTGTACTGTCGTGTTTGCTGAAGCGCCAAGGCAAAACCTGAAAAAGATAGCAGCAAGGATAGCGAAGTCTACAAGAACTTGTTTACCAAGGAGAGCTGAAAGCTAAAGTCTTCGCCATGAGATCTGGAGTATAGAAGGATGCTGAAGCCGAAAGGCCTTTGGATCAAGTCAGGGGTAAACACAATATACGCCCCCATGCCTCACATTTTATCAGTTTTGTTTAAATGTGCTCCCTTTCAAAGCCAAAATTATTAGTACTGTAAAGGTGACACCCAAGTTGTTTTAGACGTGCTTCGGTGTTTGTGTGTTCTAATCGTGTGCCAGAAAACATATCTCTTCGCATAGGCATAGACTCATAGACAATGCATCTAGCATCTCTCGTTTGGACCTGGCAGCTTGAGTGCTACCACAAGAGTGCTTGAGTGCTTGGCTTTTGTACAGGACAGAGAAGGGCTTGGAGGCGGTTCTCATTCATCAGTGGCGGTTCCGAACATCCATGCCGTGCATGGGGTCAGTCCATACTTCTTGAGACTGTGCGTTGGTTCGAGCTCTTGCAGGTCTGACTGACGAACCGTGTGAGTTGTATGCCATGCTGCTTTCAATATGTGTACCCGTTCCTTGCTGATTGCATAGAATGTTGACTGAATTCTAGACCCCCTTTTTGTCTTCATTCTTGCGCATCGGACAGGTGTCCGCGATGCCTTTGGCACTCCCATCTACAATCGTGGAGCTCGGTGTATTTGAGCCGCACAATTGGAACGAGAAAGAATGATGTACATAGTGATCTGCTGGGTCCGTGGGCCTCGAGTCGATTGATCCAACCATTTGTCCCTATTGAGATCCATTGACTTTAAACATGCATGGTTCAAGGCATATATTGCAAGTTGCCAGCAAGACAGTATGTATATATATATATAACCCTTGAACTTCTACCAGTTCGGCAATTACAGGCTTCCGCCCTGCGAGTGCTGTGCATTTCATTGCACCAGCGGAGAACAGCATCTCGACAACCGCCGCATTGATGAGAAACAGAGGTTGCCATTTCCGAGTATCACAGTACCTGCTGTGCATCCGAGTACCGGTTTGCTACCGCCTTTCAGCCTGTTGCTGCAACGTCATTGCAGCAACTGCTCCTCCCCTCAGTAGAAATCAAAGAATGTTGCCTGATGACCGCTTGAGAGAAAGACATGGATTTGATCGGATCGTTGTGGACTTGCTGCGCGTTTCTTGGCCTCTTAAAGGATCAGTATAAAGCCATATACTGTATACTTACTTGTATATATAATATATGATATTAAGACGTAAACCGCTTGAGGCGCATGTCATAACCATTGACCGACGGGGACCTCTCTTGGCTCCAGCGGGCCGATCTCCGGAGCTGGGGGGGGTGTGTGAGCTTCTTGGCCATGGCCAAGTTGAGGAACGGCTGCTATCATTGGCTTTCGTTTTGGCGTCCGAGTTTTCAGACATCAAGCTGCCAAACCAAGGAAGATGTTGCGTTTTGGAATGCATGTGGGAGGAAGAGGAGGGAATGAATTTTGAGTGGAAACAGCTGCTTTCCGCTGGGAATGTCAGTTAAAAGAAGGTTTGTCCCGCCCTACTTCCCATCCACGGAGGCGAAGTCCTGACAAGAACCCTACCAGTGGCAGTAGCACTTTCGCTTGCCTTCTTTAGCATGTTACTAGTGGCGATGCCCTTGTTACGAGTAACTGATGCCCTTGTTCCTACTAGCGTCCTCTTATGCGTAGTAAGGCCAGGAGCGCCCCGTTCGTAGCGTCCTTTGCTCCTAAGTCCCTTCTTTTTGATAAATTCTATTTGCTGTACTTATTGTTTCTACTAGCAAACATTGTTCTTAGTAGTACGGCACTTGTTACCAGTAGCGATGCCCTTTGCTTCTAGTAGCGAACCTTGTTCCTACTAGCGTCCTCTTCAAATGCTCGTAGGACACCAGCCGGGTACCACGACTAGCGTCCTCTTCAGAACTTCAACTTGTTGGACATCTTGGGACACCAGCCGGGTCCACGCTCGGGGCACTCGTCAGGACACAATGGGCAGCCTGGAGGCTGGAGTGCGCCGGTGAAACGTGCAGCCAATGGGAGACATCAAAAACGTCCAATTAATAATGGGCCTTGGCTGGCTGGCTGCCTTATCCAAATTGGGCATGTTCAAATCAATATGGAAGAGTGTGCTAGTAACTAGTGTGTGCTAGTGGTAGGTCAGGTGATAAACTCTGACAGATAGATAGTCATTTTTCAATTTCCTCCTGCAGTTTGGATGTTAAGCGGAGGAGCTTTTGACCCAATCTGACAGCTATTCAGATTCGCTGGTTTTGCTTGAATTTGTGCATATATACATAGGAGTATATAAATACAGATATACATATATAAATAGGTCAACTACAACTTCAAGGGAAAGATATGGTGGCAAGGATAGGCACCTCATCCAAGCATGCTGTTCGTACATGCTTGTGAACAGGCGGTTGGACAGATGAGGGATGAAGATGACTTTTCTCAGATCTGAATCGGAAGAAATGTCCGAGAGGAAACTCCAGGTGGACTCGCTCCGCATGCCTAGTTCATGAGACCATCAGGTGATGCTTCGTCGTGAGGCTCAAACTTTGTCAATACACCCTCACAATCCCTCACATCATTCCTTGTTAGTTGAGATGCTTAAGTACATGAAAGTCAAGTCAAGTTCTCCCAAAGGTCCACCTGGCCGGGCTTGTTGGCATGCTTCAACAACCGGCCTAAAATTGGACTGTCCCACCTCAAGCGGCAGATTTTTGCTGGTCCAAAGTGGCTCTGAGAACTTACTAGCAACAAGGCCATCGCTGTCAGGAACAAGTGCGATGCACTAGGAGAAAGAAGCTACTAGTAGCTATTTGCTACTAGTAGTAATGCACTTGTTACTAGTAGCGCTGCACCTTGCTACTAGTAGCAAGAGGCTACTAATAACTTCTGTTTGGGGAAACCCTGTTCAGGTGACGCTCCAGGGAGCTGGCTGTGCGGTAAGGCGTGCGAACGGCGGCGGCGCCAGTATTAAAAAATCATGTTGCCGTTTGAATATCCTGTTCAAATCAAGTCAATTTGTTTGGAGTCTTTCTTCCAGAAAAAGAAGAAACATAACATCTCATCTCCGCAGGAAGTCCTCTGAATTATCTCATCATTTTCTTTGCATCAGTTGCACTGTACACTTTGCGGCGCTGCTGTGCAGGTTGATCGCTTTGAAGTGGTTGATACGCACCTGAAAGGCCAGATGAGGAGCATCCAACGACTTCGGCTGCCGGTATGTGCGCTGGCCGTGCTGCCGTTGCAGAGGCTCACCCTGCTTGCGGGTCCTGGTGGAGACAGGCCAGACCTATGCATTCCTTCTAGCAATTTTCTTAAGCTTCTAGTAACTGGACGCGGGATAGGTCCGAGCGAGGGATGCATGTCAATCAATTGTGCCTGTGGTAGAGTAAGTCAATGCCGGGCTGCATTGTTGCCGGCCAATGCTTAGCCAGTGACCTTTTCACTTTTTGTCCTTTTTGACCTTTGCGATTGCCGACGGCGTAGCCTGTGACACGCATTGCATCTAATTGGCATCTAATTAAAGTCAGGTAGCGCACCTCATCGCCTCAGGACAATAGTCAGGCCCCATTGGGGCTTCCAAATTGTATGCCGCAACTAGCTTCCGAGTGGATGTTTCGAACCACTCAGGTAGTACAGCGGCAGAGGACGATTCAGGCTGCGCAAGATCGAACAGTCGTGCCAGAGCACGACAAAAATCAGGAGGGTACTGCTTCAAGACAGATGTTTTCCATCCACCTGATGCGTCACGCCCAATTCTACCTGTCCTAGGGAGCTCAGTCGTCCTCATGGACACAAAGTGCTCGTGGTCGTTTCCAGTGCCGTTCACAATGAGAAGGTCAGTTGGCTTGCTGGAGAGTCCTCCATAGCGGCCTTGTTCCACTCTCAAAAGGTGGCAGTTAGTAAACCGGAGCAAAAGTTTGACGAGAGGCATCTTCCAAATGGATGGATACTCAGGTTCAGGTGGCATAGCCGGGTGTTCGACCACACCAGTGCATCCTGAAACCAGTGCTGTCCATAAAAGTCGGAAAGTCACGGCCAGAAGTCGGTTGCCCAATGCGACCTGCTCTGCTTCTTTCTTGGTCAGAAATGTCTCACCCTGCAATCTCTGGACAGATCGGACTGGTCTGGGTCCTCTTTCGGCCTGGACATGTCGCGCACGACTCCATGTTTCACACGGAGGTCCTGCCATGAAACCAAGCAGTTGTTTGCCGCGCAGGGCACGGATGAACAAGTCCAAGGTGTCTTGCCGCAACAGGTTCCCAAATTCGACGTCAAAAATGACGTCAATAGAAAGCGCTTTCAGACCTAATGCTTCCAGATGCTCCTGTAGATCTCCTGAACGTCGATCTCCGGAAAACAAATGCGCAATAGTCCTTGGCTTATAAGGGACTTCGCGAGGCGGGTGGCACACAATGTCCTGGAACTTCCAAGCTTCGCGCTCGAAAAATTCAAGTGCACTCTCAAGAACAGGCTGGCAAATATCTGAACCATGTATGAACCATTCCGCAGATGCACACTGCTGGAACATGTAGAAAACTCGGAGCATCACTACTGTACATTCTTCGTGTTGTGCAGTCCACCTCAGGTTCCATTCATGGAAACACTCAAGGATCTCTTCATGAAACAAGCACGTATCCAATGTAGCAACACGTAGGCGCTCAAGACAAGTTTCAACTGTAGTAAAATCGCCAGCCACAGCCTCATCCCATCTGCTAAAGAGTTGATTTTTATCATCTTCCGTAGGCAGGACAATGACTTCTGGAGGCGGACACTTAGGCCCTTCGGCTTGCAAGAAGGGCCGCTTTAGAGGTTTTTTGTTTTTATTCGCGGCGCGGCTGTTCACGCCAGGTTGTTGCTCCACAACATTGCCTCGATCTGCATAGAAGGTCAAACATGACTTACTGCGTTTGACATGATTGACCAAGTCTGTATACGAGTCATACTCCTTCAGGCAGGCTTCACAGCCTGTCCCCTGAACATAGAGTCGAGCTCGATTGACCCGTGCATGGCATTTGAAGGCATGTACTGCAAGGAATGCTCTTCTGGAGAAAACTTTCTTGCATCTCAAACAATAGTGCATACACTCACGACATTGATTTTGTGGTTGTTGTGCATAACCATCCTTAATCACCTCCACCATGATGACGGAATGCCATGTCTTCCAGTGAAAAGTGATCGTCCTGGCGGACGCACAGCGAGCCATCACGCTTTTAAGCATTCTCTTCCATCGAATCGGGCTAGCCCGAATCCACTCCAACAAGCGATCCCAATCTGGAGGAGTGCAGACAAACACAGGAAAATCAGCACAGTAGAGACGGATCCAATCCAAATCTGCAAAAACTTGTCTTCTCCATTGTTCGTCTTCTTGTAGAAGTGCCCAAAGCTGTGGTTCACCAACTCTAGTCAGTTGTTCAAGATATCGCAACCTCGCCTGGCACAAAATTTCCTCATGGGATGGCAGGCCGTACTCATCTAGCACTTTGGTCCGCCCCCAGTCAAGGGCAATGGGCCCAAAATGCATAGCAGCGATTCGCTTATACAACTTGGTGAAAGAGGATTCAATCTGGGCCGCCTGCCGCTTGTTCCGAGGTCGCCAAATTGCAGCATTGTAGACAATGGTACTAAGGACCAGGGAATCAAAAAGTCTTTTCTTTTGGATCAGCGGCAGCTTCCGATTTGTGAAAATTTGGTTCTTGTACTGGGTGAGGAGCGAATGAGCAGCAGCGAATTTTGTCTGCACATCTCGGACTAAGCCCGCACCAACCTGGAGCCATGTCCCAAGATGTTTGTAGGTGCCCACACACTGCAGCTGATAGTCTGCAAATTTCGATGGGATGGTCAGCTGTTGCTCTGCAAAATGAAGGGTGCGTCGCATGGCCAATGAGCCTTGTCCACGAATATCGAGCAATACCTCCGTTTTGCCGGCTCGGAAGTTCGGTGTAAGCCCAGCAGAGATAAGTCCATCAAAGAGCTCACCAGAGACTGCCTTCAACTGTTGTATGAGCAGTTCCGGGTCCGGAGCTCTGATAGCCAAAGCCAGATCATCTGCCCAGATTGGCATTAGGACATCCAACAGCGTCGTAGGCCCCTGGAGAGGAAAGGGAGTACATTTTCCATTCCAAGGAATCGCAATGCTGGGAAAAGCCACTCTGACCTTATCCAGTACTTCATGTATGATCTTGGTCAGCGCATACGAAAAGCAGATGTCGGCCATAGAGTCCCCTGGTCTGCTCCCCCTCCTGGTATTAACAACTTGCCTGTCTCCTTTGAGCTTAAACCAGGTGCTTTCGTAAAATTCTTGGAACATTTCTTTCACAAAGGGGGAAAGATCAGCCCCAGAAACCGCATCTGGTGTTTCGAAAAGAAGCTCAAAGTCTTGGATGGCTTCTTCCGGCAGTTTCAGTTGTTGAAAGAGTTGGCGTGGAGTCCGTGTGTCAGCTCTACCATGAACAATGTGTTGTCGTACAAGGCAGTAGAACGCATTCGAGACATCCACGAACAAGATCGCAACCGAATCATGTTCTCGAAGCGCATTACGATGGAAAATCTGTAAGGCATGTGTGGCCTGAGTGATATTCTGTTCCTTGAGGCCTCCAATCTGGAAAGGCAGGCGTTGCTTCATAAAAGCCGCCGCAATCTTTTCACGAAATATGCCATGTACTGCCTTCCCAATCACACTGCTAACAAAGAGGGAACGATAATTTGTTGGATCAGTCGGGTCACCCTTCTTGTAGGCAGGAACTAGGAAACCACCTTTGTGAAGAAGTGGTTCTTTCTGGAAAATGATCTCCTTACAGATGCCACTGAAGAAAATCTTTGCCATAGCAGCAGGGGCCTTGGCCAAGAGCTCCCCGGGCAGATTATCGACAAAGTATGAGCGACCCTGTGAGTTTCTTCGGAGCCGTCTTTCGATCTCAAACAGAGATGGAATTTCATCCCAAGCAGGCAGCGTCTTGGTCCGGGATGAGGCTTGGTCGACTTGATCCATGAGTTGATTGAGGCTCATCTCCCGACCATCTTCTTGGTTGGCAAAGTACGTCCTCCAGCATTTTGTCAACTCTTCAAGTGTATCAACAACCATCCCATTGGACTGTCGCAACATCGGCAGGGGTTGTATTGCCGAGGGCTTTTTTCGATTGGAGACCCCGACAGCGCGGAGAGCATCGAAAAAATCTCTTTGTCGCATTCCACCAGCAAGTTCAGCAATTTCCTCCAGTTTCCTTGTCCGATCGTGTCGGAGTGATCCTGTCAATTGCTTGTTCAGAGCGGCCATCCGTCTGCGAGACTCAATAGCTTGTCGAAAGAGGCTGACAACTTGAACCACATAGGCTTGTCGATTCCAACCAGCATCGCGGTTCCAGGATTCAAAGGCAGCTCTGGGGAGGAGTAAGTCGAGCTTCACTTTGATCTGGGCTAGTTGCCATTTTTCCTGCATCCTTTGTTTGCGGATGCCCCACGACTCATCCGAGATATAGCTTTTCTTGGGACGCTGCTGTACTTTAGGGAAGGATTTGACCAGGCGTCTTTCGATCTGCTGCGACAAGCTTGTGAAATGCCTATCAATATCTTCCGTCCATGCAGGGATTGCAAGGTTTTCCAGCATGGTCTCAACAGTTTTGGCATCCGCTCGCAAAAGAGCCTGTCGGTCGATTTTAGCAGTGCGACTGTGTGATATATCTTTCACAAGGAAAATCTGGAGCTCCATAGCCAGTGGTGTATGGTCCAGCCCTTTTCCACCTGCATCAAGACTAGGCATCAAATACGTCCGAATATATCCACTACACCAAGCAGCTGGTACAGCGAAGTAGTCACAGCGGGCGCCCTGTCCGTTTGCGTGACCGTGCCACGTATGGTGCTCGCCTGCATGATGGTGTTCATACGTGCTAGGAGCATATAGTCTGAAACGTTGGAGGAGAGTTCCAAAACAAATGCCTCCTAGCGTTGTCATCTGCTCAAGGCCAAAATCACCAATGCAATCAGAGAACGCGGATGCAAAATGTGCATTCGCATCTACTCCACAAATGATGTTTGCATATTTTTTGCTGTAGGTGTCCAACACCTCGGTCAAATGTTTCCAGAAATCCTGGATCACAGTTTCACCTCTTCCGGAATGCGGCGCATGTCCATTCACCAGCAAAAGTTCAACTCCCTTGCATTTAGCTTTCACAACAAGGAGCTCAGGTGAGGCATACAAAACCCAGATCATCTCTTTACGAAACACATCTGTTTGGGCTCCTGTGTGTCGG